CAAGTACCCTTTGCAAAGGATAAATAGTTTATTTGATCAGTTGAGGGGAGCCAGTTGTTTTTTGAAGATTGACTTAAGGTTAGGCTAGTATCAGTTACGGGTTAGAGAGGAGGATATTCCAAAAACCGCGTTCCGTACGCGATATGGACATTATGAGTTTCTTGTTATGCCCTTTGGATTGACTAATGCACCAGCGGCATTTATGGATTTGATGAACCGTGTTTTCCAAGATTACCTGGATCAGTTTGTGGTAGTTTTTGTGGATGACATTCTTGTGTATTCACGGACTCGGGAAGAGAACGAGGTCCATTTGAGTATAGTGTTACAAATTCTACGGGAGCACCGTTTGTACGCTAAATATGAAAAGTGTGAGTTTTGGCTACAAGAGGTAATATTTTTGGGACATGTTTTCTCGGAAGGTGGGGTTTCAGTTGATCCTTAAAAGATAGAGGCAGTTTTGAATTAGGAGCAATCGAAGAATGTCTTTGAGATCCGGAGTTTCCTTGGCCTAGTGGGTTATTATCGGAGATTTGTGAAGGATTTTCCCGTTTGGCAGCTCCTATGAACAGATTGACCCAGAAAGGGATCAAATTTGCATAAAATGAGGCATGTGAGTCATCCTTTCAAGAGTTGAAAACAAGGTTGACTACAGCTCCAGTGTTAATAATACCTGAGCGTGGCTTGGGTTATGTGATCTATTGTGACGCCTCACGTGATAGTTTGGGTTGTGTACTGATGCAAGATGATAGAGTAGTGGCTTATAGGTCTCGACAGTTGAAGACTCACGAGCTTAACTACCCTACTCATGACTTAGAGTTAGCGGCAGTTGTATTTGCTTTGAAGTGTTGAAGACACTATTTGTATAGTGAGAGATTTGAGGTATTCTCGGACCACAAGAATCTCAAGTACCTTTTCTCCTAAAAGGACTTGAACAACAGACAGAGACGATGGGTTGAATTCTTAGAAGACTACAACTTTAATTTGCAGTATCATCCTGGCAAGGCAAATGTGGTAGCTGATGCTTTAAGCCGAAAATCTCATGATACTTTGGCTAGTTTAGCCATTCGGAAATGGAAGATGTTGGAAGATTTAGCTGAAATGGGATTGTATTGCTTTGATGATGATAATGATGGCAGTGAATCAGCTTTCTTGTTTAGTCTCGTGGCTCAACCCACTCTTGTTAGATGGGTGATTGAGTCACAGAGACAGGATTCAGATTTGGATGCCATTTACACTTTGATCTCCAGTAGGGAGACTGTGAAGGATTGGACCTTACATGCAGATGGAGGTTTACGATTTAGGGGTTTATTGGTTGTTCCCACAGTTTGTCGTGAGGACGTCTTACGGAAGTTTCACACTTCCTGCTTTGCAGTTCATCCGGGTGGTACCAAAATGTATCATAATCTGAGACGTCAGTATTAGTGAAATGGAATGAAGAAGAATGTTGCACAGTTTGTAGCTAAGTGCCTTACCTGTTAGCAGGTGAAGACTGAGCACCAGAGACCAACTGGTTTATTACAGCTATTGCTAGTAGCGCAGTGGAAATGGGAGGAGATTGCAATGGATTTTGTGACGGGTCTTCCTAGGTCACAGAGGGGAAATGAAGCCGTATGGGTCATTATCGATAGATTGACCAAGACGGCTCACTTCTTGCCTATTAAAGCAACAAACGCAGAGGCACTCAGTGTACTTTATGTGAAAGAGATTGTGAGATTGCACGGAGTTCTAGTGGCTATTGTGTCAGATAGGGATGCTAAGTTCATCTCAAAGTTCTGGGAAGGACTTCAAGCAGCGTTTGGCTCAGCGTTGCACCTTAGTACTTCATTCCATCCACAGAAGGATGGCCAGTCGGAGCGTACCATCCAGATCTTGAAGGATATGCTTCGAGCCTGTGTACTTGACTTGGGTGGTAGTTGGGAGGATCACCTTCCACTTATTGAGTTTGCCTACAACAATAGTTATCAGGCGAGCATTCAGATGGCTCCATTTGAGGCATTGTATGGTAGACCATGTAGGTCTCATGTCTATTGGACTGAGGTGGGCGAGACAGCCGCCTTAGGACCCGACATTGTACTCGAGACTACCGAGAAGATTAAACTGATCAGACAGAGATTGCTTACAGCTCAGAGCCGACAGAAGAGTTATGCAGATAGGCGGAGACGACCGCTATCCTTTGAGGTGGGAAACCACGTTTTTCTTCGGGTTTCTCAAAGGAAGGGGTTGATAAGGTTCAGGAAGAGTGGCAAGTTGTCGCCACGATTTATTGGACCTTTTGAAATCTTGGACCGTGTAGGAGAGGTTGCCTACAGACTAGCATTGCCACCACAGATGGACAGGGTTCATAATGTCTTTCATGTGTCGATGCTGCGGAAGTACGAGCCAGATCCGTCTCACATTTTGAGTTAGGTTGATATGGACATTAATGAGGATGTTTCCTACGAGAAGGGACTAATTCAGATCCTTGACACACAATAGTAGGTATTGAGGAAAAAGACGATACCGTTTGTAAAGGTTCTTTGGAGGCATCATGGAGTTGAAGAGGCTACTTAGGAGCTCGAACAGGAGGTTCGTTCCAAGTATTCAGAATTGTTTTCTCCCTCAGGTATGGCCTGATTTCGGGAACGAAATCTTTTAAAATTGGGAAAAATGTAATATATATATATATATATATATTAAAGTTAAAAGTTTTTTTTTTCAAAAGTTGGTAGGCCCCACCAATAAATTAAAACATAACAAAGGCCATAAGGCCATTTTTCAGACTCGTGGGTTTTCTATCTCTCTACTGCATCACTGCTCTCAGCAGTTTTTTTTTTTTTTTTTTTTTTCTCTTTTTGCAATTACAAGCTTAATCTAGCTCTATTCTTTTAAAATTTGGTAGAACCTTGTGAAGCAAAGTCGGAGAGCTCGTCGAGGCCTTCAATTTGATAGGAGCCAATCATCATTGGTGCACTCTAGGGAGTTCAAAATTCTAGGGTTCTTGGGCTCAAAATTGGGGGTTTTGCATCTAAGTGAGGTAGGGGTGTTCTAATGCATGAATTCTTGTATTTTTGTGAGTTTCTAGCTTAAAGTGATGCCTAAAATGTTCAATTAGTGCTAATTCTTGCAAAGATTTGTTTAGAATAATAAGTATGGAATGTATGTGACTATTTGTTAATTGTTTTGAGGTGATTTAGCATGCTTACATGTTTGTATGAAATTGAATTTATATTTTACATGCTAGTTATGCAAAGTTAATATTAAATGAGAGCTCGATCATGTATTTTATAAATTTGTCTTGTATAGTATGTGTGAAAGTTATATGGTTGGGTTGATAAATTAAAGCACAAGCATTCATGCATTCATTGGGAAAGAGAAGGGGGAAAAAAAATATTTTTAGAACAAACGAAATTATTTTGGGAAAAATATTTTCTAAAAGTGTTGCGAAAACCGGACGCCTATGAGGCGCCTAGTGGTCCGTGATGTTAGTGTAGTTTAGAAAGGAATGTAGTTGAGTTAACTAGGCCGGATGCGATGCCTTAGAGGTGCCTTGTGGTCGTGGATAGTTAACCAACCTTCCTTTCGTGACACCTTGGAGGTGCCTTGGGTCGGATTACATTAACGGTTTGGTTGTTGAAACGGAATTGTTTCGGAAACAGGAAGTAGCATAGGCATGACATTGCACTTCATGGTACATCTGGGAAATTTGTGATTGGATGTTATTTATACTATGCTTGTCGTTGTGATTGGGATTATGTTTTCCCCATGGTATGACCCCGTCCCTTTTTATCCATTCTTTATGTGGGATTCACATGGATATAAGAAGTGTGTCTTAGACACTTCCTACTGAACTTATGCTCATCCCATTATTTTTTAACATTTTTTAGGATACGGAAAAGAGGTGGCAGACGACGATCCACCACTGGTTTAGACTAGTTTGGAGATCTATTTTATTTTGCTACCTTTTGTATTAGAATTTTAATATATATTTTGTAAATGTAATCTTAAATATTTTTAAAAACTTTAGTTTAGTTGATATAATGTTGTAAGTTATCCACTTTAAAATTTTAGCTACAATTATGGACTGTAACTTGAAGTAACGGATGTGTCCCTTGTTTGGATAAGATGAAGGAACGGGACTTTTGTATGTATATAACCATTTTGGAAATGTAGTATAATATCTGAATTGTGCGTTGGGACAGGATAAGTTAGATTTAAGGTCCAGTGAGGCCATTGTATTTATTTTTGCATTTCAACAGGTTGTTGAGGGACATTTTCTGCGGAGGTCATGCAAAAATTTTTATAAATTTTTATTATTATTTTGATACATTTTCGAGTCGTTACAAGTTTGTCTAATTCAGTGCTCCATGGTACACATTTTGTCTTCTCCATAGTACACATTTCTTTAATATTGTCTTCTCTTTGGATGCATTTCATCATACACATTTTGCTGGGCTGCTTGCTCTGTAATGTCTTTGCTGGGCTGCTTGCTCTGTAATCTTTTGGGCCTCTTCTGATGTTAGCAATGGGCTAACCTCTTGTGCCACTATGTAACTTCCTTTTATTTAATATATTAAATTTGAACTTTCAAAAAAAAATAAATAAATAAGTTCGCCTAATCACTAACTATTTTATGCATTTTTTTTCCCTGAAAAACAATTCTCCATAAACTTGAATCTCAATCATCCACTACACTGATGATATATATCATTTCATAATATAATGAGTGCGCCTTAATTTCATAATGTGGCACAAAATATTTAAATTAATGGATAATCATATTTGCAAGAATAATCGAACTTGTCCAGTTTATGTGACTTATAGCTACTTATACGTAGGTCAATGAACATTAGTGAAAACTTTTAATTTACTTTCATATATTGGAGTATTTTTAAGGGAAAGTATGAGTATGCATAAGGCGGGAATATCAGCCTGTAAAATACTCGTAATGTATATATTTTTTACTTTTTCTCTGATTAGACTCTCCTTGAGACCCTACAAAAACTCACCCACACTACACATCTTCCATGCCCAAATTCAACTTCTCTCTCAATATTAGTCCTTTAAGAGATGGTTTCCAAAAGCAATGCATCACTTGCTCTCTTTCTCTCACTCAACCTTCTCTTCTTTGTCATTGTTAGTTCATGTGGCACTTGCTCTTCTCCTAACCCTAAGCCGAAGCCGAAGCCAAAGCCGAAGCCAAGTCCAAGTCCTTCCAAGGGCACCTGCCCTAGAGATACCCTGAAATTAGGTGTCTCTGCCAATTTGCTGAGCTGGGGTACCCCTCCAAAGACTCCATGCTGCAGCCTCATCCAAGGCCTCACCGACCTCGAGGCCGCGGTTTGCCTCTGCACTGCCATTAAAGCAAATGTTCTGGGCATCAACCTCAATGTCCCTCTCTCCATCAGCTTGCTTCTTAATGTCTGCGAAAAGAAGGTTCCATAAGGCTTCAAATGCGAATAGAAAACACTTCACTTTCGATCCTCACTCTGCTATAAATTTCTACTGCAAGTTAAAGTGCGTGTGTGCGTGATAACAACTCGTTAATTTCCTCTGTTGTAGTGTGGTTGTGTTTTGATACTATTAAATAATTAAGCTTTCACAAGTCTAAAATATCCAAGTGATTTGGCTCTTACATATCATGTTTACACATGATGGAAATAAAGTTGTAACCGTTTTGTAAGATATGAATATGTTTTACGCGTAAAATTGCTATATGAAATGAAAAATCGTTACTTGGAATTTATTTATTAATAATTTGAAAAAAATTATAAATAAATAAAAAAATTTGAAAGAAATTTTCTAAATAAGAAATAAATCGTCACCCAATGTGTTAGCTACTACTCGATATAAACCTACCCTTTGATATTTTTACAATAGAGGGTGTTACACGAAATAAATACAAGGTTAACATTTAACATTATTTGTTCATAATACAAACCGTATATACATTGGGATGAATGGTAAACTCAGACTTCATTTGGCACAAAAACGTTTGGATTTAAATTATATGTGTGATTTATGGTGTGTTAAATGATATATGTGATTTAAAAGTGTTTCTATTACAAGCTTACGAGGTTGAAAGGGTTTTTTTTTTTTAAAAAAAAAAAAAAAAAAAAAAAAAAAAAAAAAAAAAAAACTACAAAAATTATATGTTAAGGGTTTAAAAGTGTTTTAGAAACCATGTAATTACAGATTTTAAGACAATTCATGATCGGCAGTGACCTTTGGAAGGAAGAAGTCCTTGTCATTTTGTAGCACAAACATATTCCATTGCATGTGGTACATGAAATATTAGTGCATCCTCACATGCAAAAAGAAGGAAATGAAAGATTATTCCATTTTGACTAGAAAGAAAAAGCTTCCATAACTAATTGATAGACATTGACTTCCAGAAAATCATCTATTTAGTTCCATAACTCAAGTGTAGAACTTATAAAATGGCGGTAAAATTAATTGTTTGTAAAGATTTTCAGGGTTACCTGCTTAGGATTTCTACATTTTGAGTGGTATGCATGAAAAAGGGCTACCTATGAATCCAGCAAATTCAAATAATATATAAACAAACAATGAATGTGCTGTGTATGAATACAACAAATCTACCTGCTCATTAGCCCATTCTAGGAGGGAATGCCCTCTTTATCTTTGTACTCTATTGCTATATTTTTAATGAAATTCCAACACCATTTATCAAAAACAAATCTACTAGCTTCATACAATACCTAAATATAGAACACTCACAGATGAGTACATACCCTGCAGTGACAGCATTATCAAGCAGGCCTTATTTATAGAACACTTACACATGAGTACATACCCTACAGTGAGAGCATTATCAAGCAGGCCTTATTTATACTTAATAGCAATATGCAACATACTGAAGATGCACCATTGTTGGATGAAGAAGTAAAAGCCATGGGATCTATTTCTTCATTGAAGCACGCCACTCATTGAATGTTCAGAGAAGGAATATTAAAGGTATGAACGATTTCTGCTATATTTTCCACAAAGCTATTGGGAATGTGAGCATTTCACACTCAACTAACGAAAAATCAAAGAGGAACCCTTGTCTTGTTAAAAGTGTGTGTTGATAGGGAAGAAAAAGATACTTTCTAGATGCTTGCCAACTTCCAAAAAAAAAAAAAAAAAGGGAAGAAGAAGAAGAAGAGAGTAAGGATGATATGTCATGGTAATGCATAAAAAAATCACAATGGCATGGGTGCTTTGTTTTTCGAGTCCTGCAATTGCTCCAAACGGTCCACTATAACGTAGGAGTAAGGCATGTTGTTCATCATGTTCCCCTTTCTGAGAAGCTTCCTTGTTGATTCTACTGAAGATGCAAGAAATTCCTTCTCCACTTTCTCTCTCTAGAATTCTTACACCTCAACCCCAAAAAGATCCTCCTCCATTTCATTCCATCTCCTATTTATAGATATTTACAAGATATTTACAAGATATTTACAAGATATTTACTAATTGCTGGATCTGGGCCTATTCCTTCGTAAGCCTTGGTCATCTTTGATGGGCTTACTCTCGTTCGGCCCATACGGCAGTGTCCTTCTATGGGCTGGCCCAGCTGTACGGACTGAATGCTATGTTTGCGAGTCGGATCTGGCCCATGTCATCCGGGGCCTCCTCAACTGCCCCCATAATTGCCCCTTATTTAATAAGGGGTAATTATTGATGGCGTCTCATCATGATGTTGACGGCTCGAGATAACCACGTGGGGGAGCGGACGGTCAGATCCAGAATCAATGTTCCGGGGCTCGAGGGATTTCTCGCCTTCCCGACGCTTCGGCCCTCGGGCCCCCTCGCCTTTATAATGCTCTAGAATTCCACTTCACTTCCCTTTACCGTCTCCATCATCAGCCAAGTCTCTCTCTTTTCTAGAACAGTGCTAAGCTTTCCTTGGTGAAATTCTTCAAGAGTCATTCTTCCAGCGATCTTGCAGTCCTCCGAGGTTAGTTTCGTTCTTTTTACTTTCGGCAGGCTTCCATTTACCCTCTTGTAGATTCTTCTATCACTTCCACCATGGTTGTAGATCTGGATGTTCTTCGTATGAGACTTAGACTTCCTGACAACATCGAAGTTAGGGTTTGCCCCCAAGACGTTAATATTACGACCGGCGCCGGCCTCCTGCCTGGCGAAGTCTTATTCACGAACCTTCAATTGAATGTTGTTAGGTTCCCTCTGCACCCTTTCTTTAGTTATGTCTTCAATAGATTGGGGATATCCCCTCTGCAGGTCAACCCCAACTTCTTTAGAATCATATCTGTTATGCTCTTGTTGATGCGTGACAGAAATCTGGACCTCGACCTCATAGACCTCCTTCTGTGCTATAAGGTGAGTAAGATCCGTACTAACGAGCCCTTCTACCACCTCTACCCGTTCGAGAAGATGTCCATATGTACTGACACAATAAAATCTGAAAAGGGTTGGAGGGATAGCATAGTGGGAATTAGTGGGGCTTGGTCTTCGCCGGCTGCAGAGGGTTACCCAATCCCGAGCCCCTTTGGTGTCTGCTCTGTCTCCTCCTATAAAAAATTCAAATCCCATAAACATGACTGCCCCTGTGAAACATGCGTTCCTCGTTTTTGCACTTACTTATGCCGCTCCTTGGGAATACCTTGTGATGACTTGAGCTATAGTGTTTGCAGGGATAGGAGTAACTACTTGAAGAGATACGTTCTGAACGATATTCCTTCCTGCTCAAATCTCCTCACTTCAGACAACCTCTTAGCGCTCTCATCACTCGGCTACAACATGAGCAGACTTCAGATTCCCTCTTTTGGCAGGAGGAAAAATACTCCCCCAGCCACTCCTGCTACTGGGGCGACCTCCTCTCCAGCGTCAGCTTCTTCTTCAGCCACCATATCTGACACTGTCCCGAGCGCAGTGGCTACTAACCCTGTTGCCAGCGCCCCTGCTGCCAACCAGAACGCGCCCTCCCCAGCTACCATAGCTCCTGCTGCTGCGGGGGGCGGTCGGGACAAAGAACGAGGCAAAAGGCCTCATCCTGACAGTGAAATCGATCCTGAGGAGGAGCCTCTCATTAGAAGGACCCGGGTCTCTGGGCCGGGTACTCTCCTGCACCGAGCGATCAGAGCTCCTTCTCCCTCTGGGCCTCCTGCAGCTGGTGGCTCTGCTTCCGCTTCAGGCCCCCCTTCTATCCCCAGCTTACCGCCGTGGGCCCCTCGGTACACCCAAACGGATGGGACGTTCGTGAAACCGAACGAGACCATGCTGAAGGATGGCCAGACCGCTATGGCCTACTACAGGAGCATGTGGACTCCGAAGGACCTTGAGGCGGCAAAGGGCCTTTCCCAGAAGGACGTGTTCAGTCGCTTTCCCCAATCTGCTATGGAGGTGACTTTTATTTTCTAACTCATGAATTCTCTCATATTACTTGGTCTTGCCTTCGCCCGTTCTGACTATTGGTTTAACCGTTTTTAATGTGCACCTATGCAGACATTGTTCGGGATGATGGCCATGCAGAAGCAGGTGGAGATGGGGAACGCCAGGGCCCGTAAGTATTCTGACAGCCTGGAGGTGGCTAATAAAGAAAACGACCTCCTTGCCATGAAGAATACCGAGGTGCTGGTTCGGCTTGACAAAACCGAGCAAGAGAGAGATGCCCTGAAGAAGGAGAATGATTCCCTTCAGGATGAGAAGGACGCCCTCCAGCTTGAGAAGAGCGTCTGGCAGACCGAGCGGGAATCAATTAGAGAAGAGAAGGCAGAACTCCAACGCCTTCTAGCTGATGAACAATCTGCTCGAATGGCCTTTGAAAGAAGAGCTCTGGACGAGCGTACCTCTCTGATCGACGCGATCAGCAGAGTGGGTGGTGGGATGCTGGCCCTTCACGCCCGGTTCTCAAGGGTCGGTGCTCTTAGGTATGCTCAAGGATTCCGGGAAGGTTTCGCCGACCGGGTTCCGGATGAGGGACAGACCAGCTCCACTCCGGATGAGGTAGACAAGGATCTGGGGATCGAACCTCTGGGGGTCTATGTCGACCCAGAACCTACCGAAGCGGAGCGTATATTCGATGAGTGCCAGGACATCGCATCCTCAAGGATCATCACAGCTCCTCCTACCGCTCTGCCACTGACCGCTCCCCAATCGTCAACCGTGGTTCCTTCTATAGCCACTGCTGACGCTGAACCCCAGCCGAACGATTCAGTCATTCACCTTGATTCCCCACCTCATGAAGGTGAGGCGGCTGATGGGGCCGAGGAGGCGAGTCGGCACGACCAGGATGCTGTTGGTAATGAGGCGTCTAGCTAGGGCTCCTTCGAATCCTTCTATTTCATATCTTCTTGTAATGATGGACATCTCTCTTTTGTAAACTCAATGTTCAATATTAATGAAATGACAGAACTCTTTTTCCCTATGTGTTGTGCTCTATTCAACTTATCTTCAGTACATACATATCTTTTCTCTCTTTTTCTTTTATATTAGCTTTGCCGTGTGTTTGTTTACGGCAAGTGCCTGGCGCTTGGTTAGGATGCCACTTGCCACTTGGCTTTAAGCTTTTAGCAAGTGTCTGGCGTTCGGCTTATAGTGCCAGCTGCCACTTATCTTGCTCAAGTGCCTGGCGCTCGGCTAGAATGCCACTTGCCACTTGGCTTTAAATTTTTAGCAAGTGTCTGGCGTTCGGCTTATAGTGCCAGCTGTCACTTGGCTTT